GGTCATTTTTCCTATTTTTTATTGGATCTTAAAAACGAAAAACAAAAATTAAAAATTTATGGTGGTAGCCGAATTTAAAGATGGCGATAGTGGTAGTGTACTCATATTTGGATGAGGAGATAATAATGGTGTGAAAGATCGAAAATTTTTAAAGAAACATTCATTGAAAAGTTTTCCGGCAAAAGCTATTTGTTTTCCGGCAAGAAGTATGTGTAAGGCCCCGTGAAATTTTTTCTAAAAACCGGGGTTCTGTAATGCCGGGGGCAGACGTAGAGGTTAATAATAGTATAAATTCTTCGTGGTGAGCTTGTGAGCCGCGGTTTGGACTTTTTGGATTGAACAGTGTGCTGGGGAGTTAAAGAAAATGTTGGGCAAAAGTAGGCATTTCTGCGGCCTATTCTGCGACCGCAGAATGGTCGCATAGTGGGTCGGTTTTCTAGGTCATTTTGATGTCAATTTCGCGGCCATTATACGACCGCATAACCACTTCGCGGGCCGCACTCTTGTTGCATATCCCGCTTTGGGATTTTTCGGATGGAGGTTCTGCGGTGCATTATACGACTGCAGAACAGGTCTGCGGGCCGCATAGTGACCGCATACCTGGTGAGTTCCTTTCCAGTTTTGGCACCCAAATTTTACGGTCATTTCGCGGACCGCATAATCATTATGCGGCATATGCGACCGCAGAACCTGTTCCGGAGCTTTATTTTTGAGTTTTTAAAACCCGACCCTACTTCGTTAAAATAGATATAAGGGGCCATTTTTTAGCAAAATTTGACATTTTAGAGTCAGAGAGAGTGCCCTATAGTGAGAAGGTGTTCCTCAATAATTGTTCTTTAATTCTTGCTCAAACTTTGGAAGATTAAGAAGGGAAACTCACTAGGTCTTCATCCTAGAGGTAAGATTCTACACCCTAAGCCTCAATTTCGAATTTTTTTCTAGAAATGGGTGATTAGCAAGATAATATTTGGGCATGAGAGTTGTTTATTTTACATGCATGTGTTATCAAATAGTGTAGGAAGATTGTTGAGCTAAAAATGGTAAAGATTGGGTTGTGGGATGATGGAATCCTCCATGAAAGGACCTTGAAACCTTAATGCACACTTAGTGTTTGATAAAATGCTCAAATGAGCTAGAACTATGATCATCTTCCTAATTTTAGTTCAATTTGTTATATTTCTAAAATAGATTGAGGTTGCTAAAAATTTCAAAATATTTTAGAGTTTAAGGAAGCTCTATTGAGGTATGTTGGCTAAATTTTCTCTCTTAGAATCGAATTCCATAATGTTCCCGTGAGTTTCAAAGTATGGGTTGCATATTAAAATGTTATGGCTTTGAATCGTATTTCAAATGAAAGCTAGTATCCCAAATTGTGTGAGAAAATCTCAATATTCTTAAGACTCTTAATTGCTCATATGTGTACCTAAAGTCTTGATTGGAAATGTCTTAATGTTGATAATCTATAAAGATGGTTGGAAATAAAATAATTGAATTGGGGGAATAGTATGTGGCCAACGTGCCAAGAATTTAAGTTATGATTGTGGCTAGTAGTGCAAATGATTTGAGAGGATGCGATAAAGAATATGAAATGAGTCTCGACTCAATTGTTTAAAAATAATTTCGAAAATAGATTTTCCTAAAAGCGTTTGTACTTAATTCATGCCCATGAGTGGTTGCTTTAACTAATGCTTTGCTTTACAAATATATCCAGTGTGAGTCGAGTTCTTACATACTCAGGTGTTGAAGTTATATATTATCATTTCTGGGAAAGGAGTATTGCAAGAATAAATGGTCTATTGATTGCTTATGATTTTGATGTGTGCTTGTATTGCTGGTCGGTATGCCCAATTATTTGGAAAGAAACCTTTTATGTTTAAAGTTCCCATTACTAATAAATTTGAGTTATATGATTGCTAAAATATTCTATATGTTGATATTTGATGGTGATCTTTGAAATTGAAAGAGGTGAAAGTATGAAATATGAAATACGGTCATCGTGCCAGGAATAGAGAATCTTGTGAATGGCCAAATGAGCCAATGAAATATTGTAGTTGTGAATAACTGAAAATACTAATGAGAATTTATACAATGCGAAAAATGTTGAGGTGAGTACAATTATATTTATGTTACCTTTGTGTGCAAATCAAATCAAAAATATTTTTGGGAGCATCATTAGTAAAACCGAGGAAGGGTGGGTCATAAGGCCTACACCTGAAACTACACGTATCGATATAGGGGTGGATTGTGATATTATTCCCCTTAATTGGGATGAAACTGGTAACAATTGTGGATTGGAAAAGTCAACCCACACGGCATATGTGGGAAGACGGCCTAGCTGATCGGGTGGAGATCGGACGCCATGTTGCGCACATGGTGGTACTACTCTTGGTAATAACTTTCTTTCGCATCACCTGTCAAACCACATTGTCCGTGGGGAGATGGCCTAGCCGATCAGGCGTAATCGGACTCCGTGCTAACAAAGATGGTGGAATATCGGTGCTAATGATCTCCCAACCAAAAAATTGTATATGAAGTTCGTATTTTGAAAATTATTAGTTTTAATCGGACATTTGGATATTGTTGATTGTGACTTGCTGTTTCTATGTGTTGTCTTTTCTTATATGGTCATTCTATTTTGAAAGAGGACTTTTAGCTTTACATACTAGTACTATTCGACAGTACTAACGTTCCTTTTACTGAGGGCGCTGCATCTTTAATGGATGCAGGTGGTTCTACAGCAGGCGGCATTAATCAGTGATAGCAGTACACTCTTTTCAGTTGATTTGGTGAGCCCCACTTCATTTCGGGGTCATGTAACTTTTGTTTCTCATGTACTGTGTTTTGAAGTATAGCCTGGGCCTTGCTGCCGGCATTTTCATATTACTTTTCTATTGTACTTAGAGGCTCCGTAGACAGGTTGTGGGTTGTGATTTATGTTGGGAATTGAACTAAAAATGTTGGTATTTGGAAATCATGTTTTTCATTAATTCTATAAACTCGTAATATTTTAAAAAATTATGAATGAAGCTGCTAATGAGAATGAAATAGAAGTTGTTAATAAAATCTTTTTAGTGTTTGATTAATGGAGTACATCTCCTATTTATTCATGGATGAGTTTGGGTAGAAAAAATCTAACAGGCTTGCTCGGCCGGGTTCTCTCGGTGGAGCGCTGGTCGCGCTCCCCAAGTTTGGGGCGTGACAGTATGAAAGGTTTGTTTTTTAACTTTTTTTCCCTCCCAAATTAGGAGGATCTATAATGTTTCCACACTTTTCCTCCATCGTGACTCGAACCCAGGACCTAACGGTCGTAGGTGGAGATGCTTTTTACGCGCTTGAAAAATGTGAGAAACACTCCGCTAGCCATGTTAGCATTTTATGTAAATGACACAGTAAAGGTCTGGTTAAAGTGTTCAAATGAAACAGACTTAAAATAGAGTATTTAAGTAAAAAATGAGGACAACTTTAAGGGGCTGCCGACAGAGGCAGATTTACATGGAGGGGATGGGGTACATACACCCATCCTTCCCTTTCTAGGCTATGTATAAACAGTACCAATTTTAAAATTATCTATATAAATATGTTCGTGACCACCCATGCTCAATTGACTACCTTGGTGCATTGGTAAGTTGGTGCCCCTGTGTACCCCCAGGTCAAGGGTTCGATCCCCGTCCCTTCACCTTTTCGATATTAAGTTTTTTTTTTTAAAGTTCCTTTTAGCTAAAATCATGGGCAAGTTTTTTTTTATAGTTCTTTTTGGCTAAAATCATGGCCCACGTTTTTAGGAGGAATTTGGGTATATACTAATATATCAAATCCCTAATTTCTAAAAGCAAACTTCGCAGTTTGTCTCCCTCTCAACTCTCCCTCTCTCTCTATCGGCTCTAGCCTCTGTGAATGGATTCTTCAAGAAAGCAGCATTCTCAGCCTCAGGTATCTAACTACTCTCTCATTGCTCTGTATTTTAATTATCTCACTGCAGCTTTATTGAAGAACTTGCTCAATATTCAAACACAATTAAAGTGTGTAAGTTCAAACATACATGTACAGAACTACAGATGCCTAATTTTTGTGCTATAACTTCTTCATCTGTTGACAGACATGCTTTAATATGATTGATTTGAATTTAATAATTTATTTGAATTAAGATAGATTAAATAGAAGTGTGAATATTTAATTTTGTAGGAATGATCCATAAGATTAAAATGGATAGATTTCTCACCAAGTCGAAAAATGGTGAACCAAGTTCTAGTGCTAGTTGGCCATACAGGAGTTCACAAATCGCTCCGGAAGATCAAAGAGAGACAAATCCTTCTCTACTTTCAAATGTGGATAAAGTGCTTGATTTGAAATCTTTTGAATCTGATCCCAAAGAAAGAATGCTAATTTCGGATTATGGTCCTAATATTCGAGATGAAGTGAGGAGATATTATATAAACAAAGGGCCTTGTCAACTATTTTGTCATGCCTTTACTAAAACTAAGATTAGGAGTAAAATGCGTCAATTTAGTCCCACTTGATTTAGGGGATCATATTCTCAATGGTTGGAGTATAGCATAAAAACAGATGCGACATTTTGTTTGTGTTGTTATTTATTCAAGAATGAACTTGAAAGTCGTGGAAATGTAGGGGATGCATTTACAAAAGATGGTTTTAGGGGTTGGAAGAAGGTTGTGGAAAGATTCAAAGAACATGTTGGTGAAGTAAATAGTATCCATCACAAATGCTTCTATAGGATGCTAGATTTGAAAAATCAACGTCAATCGATTCAATTTTCTTTTGATAAGCAAAGTGAAAAAGTAAAAGGTGATTACCGGATGCGCTTAACTGCCTCAATTGATGTGGCGAGGTTTCTTTTAATTTCGGGATTTCCATTTCGTGGACACGATGAAAGAGAAGAATCTGAATATAAAGGTGGCTGTCTTGAACTTTTGGAATGACACGGAGATCGGCATCCGGATGTGGGAAGAGTAATATTACGCCATGCACCACAAAATGATATGATGATTTGTCCAACAATTCAAAAAGAGATTGTGGAGGCTTTTGCTAAAGAAACAACTAAAGCTGTCATTGAAGATTTGGATGGTGATTATTTTGCAATATTGGTTGATGAATCAAAGGATGTCTCACATAAGGAGCAAATGGCCTTAATTTTGCGATATGTCAACAAAAGTGGAATGGTGATAGAGCGATTCTTGGGTATTGTCCACGTGGATGATACTTATTCCTCGTCATTACAAAAAGCAATTTATTCTTTGCTTTTGGATCATTCATTAAGTAGATCCAAGATACGTGGGCAGGGCTATAATGGAGCTAGTAATATGCAAGGAAAAATAAGTGGTCTCAAGTCTTTAATTTTGCAAGATACTCCCTCTGCATATTGTATTCACTGTTTTGCTCATCAATTGCAACTAGCATTTGTAGCTCTTTCTAAAAAGTATTCGGATGTGGATAATTTCTTTTATGTTATTACTAATGTTTTGAATACTATTATGTAATGACCTGACCAGTTGTTTTGACTATTACAACCATGTTCCCCCATTTACTATTCAATTTGTAATTTACGATTGTTATGTGACTTGCCGGGGGTAATTAGTTCGGGTCCGGTGAGGTTTTGGAATGATTTGGAACACTTAGTTCCAAGGTTTAGAATTTAAGTTGAAAAGGTTGATCGTATGTTGACTTATGTGTAACGACCCCGGAGAATTTTTGCTAAGGAAATTAAGGCTTTATGGTGCCGAGGTAGATTAATTAGTACAAAGGTTATATAAAAGCCCATCGCGGTTCGGACTTTTTGGGTTGAACAATGCACTGGGGAGTACAGGAAAATTTTTGGCAGAAGAAGACATTTCTGTGGCCCACTATGCGGTCGCAGAATCACTCTGCGGACCGCATAATGGCCGCAGAGTGTAGCAAAAATGAGCCAAGTTTGAGGACCATTGTACGGTCAATTATGCGACCGCATAATTATTTCGCGGACCGCAAAACCTATCGCAGAATCAACTTGGGATTTCTGGAGGGAAGTTATGCGGTGCATTATGCGATCACATAACAAGTCTGCGATATAATTTGCGATCACATAACGGGTATGCGGGCCGCATAACTACCGCAGACCCAGGCAAGCGACCCCTAGTTTTGGGCACCAATTTTTGCGGCCGATATGCGGACCATATATTAATTCTGCAATCGCATATGCGACCGCAGAGTGTGCTTCAGAGCTTCATTTTTCTGATTTTATAAACCCGACCCCATTCTTATAAAACACTATTAGGGATCATTTTGAAGGGTTTCATATGATATTTTAGAGAGTGGTGAGAGCATCTTAGAGAGAGAAAGTGAAGACTTAGTCAATTGTTCATCAATTCTTGTTCAAGACTTGAAGATTTCACAAGGATCTTGCTAAGGCTTCATAGAGGTAAGAATCTCTTCCCCCAATTCTTCAATTTCGATTTTTGGGGTAAAAGATGGGAGATTAAAAGTACGATTCTTGGGTGTAAGAGCATCAATTATACATACACATACCAATAAGGTTGTGAAAAGATTGTTGAGTTCAAATGGGTAAAGATTGGGTTAAAAATGGTAGAAATCTTCATAGACTTTAATTGAAGATTTGAGGGCCGAGTTGATGTCGGAATTTGATGAAATTTATATGGTTGGACTCGTGGTTAGATGGGCGTTCATATTTTGTAACTTTTGTCGGGTTCCAAGACGCAATTTTTGAGTGCAATTTCGGATTTTGTTGGAAAATTTATATTTTTATATGGAATTAATTTCCTATAAGTTGTATTGACTAAATCGAATTAATTATGGCTAGATACAAAACTTTCGGAGACCAATTCGCGAGGCAAGGGCATAGCGGAGTAAGAAATTACGCTGTTTGAGGTAAGTAACACTTCTAAACTTGGTTCTGAGGGTATGAATCCCTGAATTACATGTTGTATGAATCATTTGGAGATGACGCACACGCTAGGTGACGGGCGTGTGAGCGTGTATAATAGGAATTGTGACCTAATTGATTCCGTAGAGTTGCATAATTAAATAAATGTCATTATCCACACATCCTCTATGTGTTAGAGAAATTGAGCTGAGCCTCATGTTAAAGATCATGATTTGGCTATGCGCCGATATGTTTTGGGACCCACATGGGTCGTATTGTTGTTGAACTATTTGTTTAAATTTATAATTTTGTACTTAGTCACATCTATCATTTGCATATCATATCTCAGTCTCTGTTGTTATTCATTGATACTTCATATCATCATGTCAGGTTGATTCTTCATGTTATTGAGAGCCCGAGAGACTGAAGATTCTGAGTGATAGTTATGTTTATTTGTTTATGCCTGGATCTGGCTATTATAGTGCTTGGGCTGAAGGAGCCCCTCCGGAGTTTGCACCCCTACAATGAGCGTAGTTGATATATATATATATATATATATATATCTGGGATGGATCTTCCCTGGGCATGGATCTTGCCATAG